ATTTAATAAAAATCGAGGATTTTAAAAGACATTTTAAATGTATTATATTAAGTCAAATCTAACGATAAAAGCTTAACAAACAAATAGTTATAAATTAGTCAGAATTATTTGCAAGATAATATCATCTTGATAATAATTTATTCTATGTATTTTTTTTAAATAATTAACAAAGATTTATCACTAACATATTAAATTGTTTTATAAGTAAAAATAAAATCTGAAGCATGATTGCTTAAATTATCTTGAAGTGAAAGGAAACAAAGAAGTTGAAAGTGAAAATAACTCCAAAGTTAAACTTTGATAATCAATCACTGGAACTTTGAAATGCTGTATACACATTTAATGGTACTAGAATTTTCCACAAACAGGAAATTTAGTCACAGAAATAAAAGGTATACTTATATTATTATTAGTTACTTGTAAATATTCTTAAAATTTTTGTCTGTTTGTTAGAATTCTCATTTTATGACAATAATATAGTATAACGATTTAATTTAAGTAATAATATTGAAGTTTATGTTATCCAGTATGGCTGAGGTAATTATTTTTATATCATGTTTCAACAAATCGTACAGGAGTTATTTAAATAGATTTATCCAAATTCCGTCAATTTTTTTTTTAAAAATAACTTTTATATTTCACATTTATTATATAGCCAATATTCAATTATCATTCAAAGTCAATCAGATGCTTAAATAATGTTAATTTGACTAAAATTATATATTGATTTATTGATCATAATATTTTAATTTGTCTTACCTGTCACTTAAGTTAGTAATCATTATAAATTTTGCTATCATATGATTATTAAAATTAATTATCCTGAATGTATTTATAGTGCATACAAAATTGACGTATAGATTTGATGGTTATATATAAACAGTAGTTCATAATTGGAAAAGATATGATATATCATAAACTGGTTGAAGAATATTTTCAAGATAACTTTTATATATTTGTCAATGATATAATAAAATTCATAATCTGCTTACTATATAGTAGTTTATCTGAATAAAAATTATAAATTTCCACATATGTTAAAATTAATGGGATATATTTTATTATACTTTATTGTTTTATTATTTTATTATTTACATTTTATTATTTACAATAAAAAAAAATATTTCATATAAGTTTTATCACTAAAAATTTTACAAGAACATAAACTAAAAAATATTTTACATCAATACTATTTCAATACTAATATACAATTACATATGATTATAACATTTGTTATACATCTTAAAATACCTTCAATTTTTGTACTATATATCATCTTACAGAATTCTAAATACAAACTCATATAAAAGTTTATTTATAGTATAACATTAATTATCTAATATATTATACAAATGGAACTAGTGAAGTTTCATTATAAAATAACTGTGTATTTTTCAGATGAGGATAATCATGATATCATGATAGCAATGTGAATTCCAAAATCAATCAAAGTATGCATCATCAGTATTATTATCAAACACTTCTCAAATTTTAACTCTTATTCAATTTGTTCAAGTAAGTATTATTATCTGTTTGCATCAGTGTCATGTAATAGAAATAGAACAGTTTATCAAATACTGTAAAGTGTAGAATTGTGATTATTAATAAATTAAAGGTTATTTGAAATAAAATGTATATTCTATTCAAATGTATAATGTATAATAATAAATGTAATACAATAAATGTGTGTAATAAATCCTAATAATCTAATCAATGCATAAATGAGAAAAAGAATATTGCTGCCTCCCTTGGTGATCTGCCAATAGTGAAAACTAAAACTAAAAACTAAAAAAAAAATGCATCACTTTTTCCAGCATGCTTATATACAATAATCCCTCTGCATGTAACTTTATACTTATTGTAAATTACACTAGGTATAAGCTGTCTAAAAAATAAGTTATACGAAGTGTAAGTTATACTGTAACTTACACCATAAATACATCAGTTATTTTGATTATATGAGCCATATGCCAAACTTCTACCAAAATACTATCTGAAGCAGTCCATGTAACGTAAGATTAATGATGATGAGTCATGCTTTTGCTCTGTCCACCATCAACCCGTTATAAAATATAGCACAATAAGAGTAATTTTCTCATACTATAGTGACATTTCTTCATAACGATGATGTTCAATTAATACTTTGACATTTTGTAAATTCTGGTCTTTTTACATTTGTCACCGGAATTCTGGAATTTAGTATGGCTGTAATAAACTTTGAGCCTATTAATTAAAATTAAAAATAATTTTAAGAATTTGTTATTTCATTACTTATTTCAGAGGTACTGACAAGAGGTAGTACATTTCACCCATAGTAACTATAATACACTAATTTTGGAAAGTATTCCTCTTGGATCACAATAAAGAGAAATATAAAGAATGAAATTAATATTACTTTTTGTTTCTACAAATATTTCATATATAATGAACTGAGTGAATATTTGTGAAGATTCATCAAAACTCATAGGTGGTAAATTAAGTCTAGCAGTTCAGTATTGTGATGCACAAATAATATCCAGAGCTGAAATTTTGGATGGTAAATCTAGTAAAAATTAATTTTCCAAATATTTAGTCTAGGAGAGAGTTTTTTTCCTATCTATAATACCACTCCAAACTTTGCTTAATTCCTCCCAAGTAATCTTGCCTCTTTCATATCTTAAATAAAAATAGATGAGTTCAGTCCAGCTTTAAATACTACTATGGTTGTAATTTGAAGATTATTTATTTTTCTGAAATTAAAATGTTAAATTCTAGTAGGTCAAAAATGACCAGTTTTACAAAAAGAATATCAGATAGAGCTGAACAAATTAATAATTAAGATATGTTTAGTTCAGTAAATTTGTAATTTGATTTCATTATTAACATCGGCATTTTAATCCATTCTTTCTACTCCATCAAAGGTAATATTACATGGTGATTATCAAATACTGACTCACTTGCTGCACCAGATTCTATTATTAGTAATTAAAGTAAGTAGATTTTCATGCCATCATTTTAAAGGTAGCTGAGATCATTACCTTTTATTGTTATTTTTCCCTAAATGTCTTAAGAAGATCACAAGAAATTGCCTAAATCATTTTTTTTCAATTACTAAGTTTCTTTAATATAAATATAATGTTGAAATTTTCATAATGATATCAAGGATCCTATTTGTTATGGTGAGTAATGAACTTGCACATTTTAGGCCCAATCAAATGTAATATGAGCGTTACCTTCAAAAGTTTTTGGTAGTATTTGAGATCTAATTGTAATTGATTTGATGATTTCTGTATCATATTCATTAATTGAATCATTAAAAATATTATTTGAAGATTTCAATTTTCAGAATCTCTAGTAAACTTCATTGTAGTGAAAAATTTTTCAACTCTATAAACAAAGTTTATTGTTATTAGAAAAAATTTCTATGTATAGTATTTTAAAGTTTTAGAAAAATATATTTAAACAAAAATTTATCAGTAGAATGAGTTGAATCTAATTATGAGTTATAGGGTATGTATAGTCATAAATTTATGTAATTGTTTTATAATTGTAATAAGTTCATATCATACGTTTTCAATGAAGGATTTATTGCAACTTTTATGACTGATAAGCTTTTTGTGTGATCTCTTTTGCCCTTCAAACATTTTTGAAATGTCAAAAAAGAGATAATTATATAGCATCACATTAATTTATAGTTTTTTTATTGTATAGACATTTTTTATACTGTCTAAATCATCAAGAAATCTATACCCTCAAGTAAAATTTTGATGTTTTTCAATAAAGAAAGGGGGAAAATATCAATAGGGAAATAAAGGTAAAAATCAACGAATTTTAGACTTATTTATATTTAAATAATTTTAAAAATGAACAAATGAAAAATTTACACATTTAATTTTATAATTGGGACTATCATCTGGAACTTTGCCACATATAATATCAAAGCCCAAAATTGGGATACAAAAGCCATAACTGTATAGCCACAAAATTGAATCCTATTTTTATATATTAATACTAAAATTATCTAAATAATATATAGTAAATAATAGAGTATATAGTATAATGATTTTTAAATAATATTACATGAATTACTTATTTTTTTAAAAAAAAAACTTTATAATTCTAAAAATATTGAAATTTTAAACATTTACTACCAATTTCGTGATTAAATACCTTTAAGGGATTTGCAATTTGTACAATTTGTTGTTTAAACTACAGTAGATGTTTATAAATGGTTAGGATTGTTAGGATAAGAAATTAGCATTCTTGAAACTTAAAGGTACTAACATACTAGCACTATAACATGATGTCACACTAAATAATTAATATTTAATATAAAAAACTATAAAATGTACGATAACTAAGTCAATAACAATATTTTAATCAGTATTATAATTAGAGAATTCTAAAAAATCTGTAAAATTTTCTTTTCATTTAAATTTTTCGTGTACATCACAAATATAAAATTAGTTCAAATAATAAAGAATTTTTTTTTTTTAAAAAAAATAAAAATTTCATTAAAAAAAAATATTTAGTTATTGCTTTACATTGGCATCTATTTTCGATTCAATTAATTTTTACAAATTATTTTTACAAAAAAAATTCAATTATTAAAAAAATAGTTTTTTTTTTATTTTCGTTAATTTTCATGTAATTTAATACAATAAAGTTTTTACGTGATCCCGATCATTTTTAATAAAAAAAAGTTTGATTTTTTTAAAAAAATGATAAAAAGATAAGTTGTTGTTTAATTATTAGTTTTTCATTATCACACTTTTATAAAAAAAATTTAATTTCTCGTAGTGAAAAAAAAAAAAAATATCGATATTAAAATGGCAAATATCACGTGTTTGAAATCATGTGTTTAAAATTTTTTCTTTTACTTATTAGTACTCGATCATCATACCGAATATAAATTAGTTCGAATAAAGTTAAGCAACGTTTCACAGATTCTTTATGCTAATAACTAATTAGGATAAAAATGGCGTATTTGAATGATATACACAATTTAAAAAGACCTTTCCCAATTTCACATTCTTAACGAAATGGCACTTAAAAGACTTAATAAAGTTATGAGAAAGAATCAATTTTTTTTTACTACCGAATTTTGAAGAAAATAATTATTAACATTATCCACATTAAATTATTAGGAATTGTATGATATAGGATGTAACCCACCATCATCTATTAATACCGGTCCTATTGACGATGATCTTTTTCATTGGCAAGCTACAATTATGGGCCCTGTAAGTAACAGTTTGTATATCAAATTGAGACAATTAATTTATTCTAACTACCTGATATTATAATTTTGATAAGTCTGATTCCCCATACTCGGGAGGTATATTTTTCCTTGATATTAAATTTCCGAGAGATTATCCGTTTAAACCACCAAAGGTATATTTATTTATGCAATTGTAATTTATTTTAATTACGTACTTACATATTCTACATTAGGTTCGGTTTATAACAAGAATTTATCATCCGAATATCAACAATAGTGGTTTTATAAGCCTGGATATTCTAATGAATAAATGGTATCCGAGGATTACTATTTCAACAGGTAAATCGGTTACAAAAATAGTTACAACTCTTTTTAACTCTTTTATATAAAAAAAGGTTTTAATCAAATTTTTATTATTCAAGTACTCTTGTTAATTTGTTCATTGTTGACTTACCCAATCCCAGGTATTTCGTCATACTGTATAATGTATATTCCATGTAATTATTATTTTAATTGATTATATAATTATTTTCATCTTGACGTTAGCAAATTCACTTGATCCTGACATTTCTAATGTGTTTAAGAATAATCGTAATCATTATGAAGCTACTGCTCGAGAATGGACTCGTCATTATGCAAGTAAGTATAATTAATTATTTAATTTTTGCATTTTTTTAAATTTTTTATTATTTAAATAATTATTTTCATATTTGTGTTTATATATTTAGTGTAATTATCTGAATTAAATTTGGCTGATCATATTCGGTTTGGATTTTGCAGTTTTCAAAAATTTCTTATTTCAAATAAAGGTTAATAAATAAAATAAATTAATTATTATAGAAAAGTTTCATTTTATGTATTTTTATTGTAGTTAATTCAGTTAATATAAATTATGTGAATTGTAATTTCAGAACGTGTTAGACCCAGTAAAAAAAATCAATCCGTTTTTATTTTCCATCTTTTATCATGGAATTTGTCGAATTATTTACATTTTCTGTGAATGGATCCGGGAAAGGCCCATATTTACAGAGTTTTTACAGACATAACGGATAAAATTTTTTGTAGGGAGATTGTCTTTTTTAAAAAACATTTGTTAATATTTTTATATAATTTTACACTTTATTCATTCTTAATTTTTTTACGCCTCATCAAAGGTTAGTAATATGGAAGATATTATGATGATAGACCTCAATTCAAAAAATACATCTATCGATACAAAATTAAATAAATATCGTTAAATAATATTTCCTTTGTTTTAAATTTACCTAATTTAAAATTGCATAATAACCTTTTCAAAATTATTATTGATTCATGTATATGCAATAAAATTTTCGATATTGGTCAACTTCGTAGTAATAACTTCTCTATATGGATATTATGAAATACCTTACATTTCATCATTTATCATATTTACTAGACAAGGTTCATTTAACTAATCATATAATATTATTATTAATCTAAATATTATTTTCCTAGCGTAAAGACAAAAAAAAAGCTTATGTAAAAAATGATCAAACGTCATCATCTAGTTTTGATTAAAATAAATTTATTAAAATTTTTTATTCAAACTAAATTTATTTTTGATATATAATTTGACAATGGTTTTAGTATAAAGTTTTTTTTATAGGCTTATTACCACTTTATTTTTGAAAAAAAATTATAATGATATACGCATAACGACTATAACGTATACATTACCGAAAAATTAATATTTTTTACTTGAACTTTACAAAGTATTGTCTAAATTTGGACCTGAATCTCCTTATGTAACCATCATTTTAACCATTTCGGGTTAGGTTTATTTTATGATGATCAGCTGATGCTTACGAATTTTCTTTGTCACAAAATCACAACAATAGTAATGTTTGTATAAAATAGTTGTACAAATAGTAATACAAATGGGTAATACAAATGTGCGCAATTTATTGAATTTCGTTCAATTCATAAATTTTTTTTTTCTTTTACTTTTAATAATTCTGAAATTTATTTCGAGTAACATAGTTATTTATTTATATAACTAAAATTAAAATTATAAATTCACAACTCAAATTAATTAATATGGATGAAAAGCCAAAAAATTTATGGGAGTATGATGATAAATATCAGGTAATAGCAATTTAATATTTTTAATAATTATAATTATTTATTGAATTTTTGTAATTAAAAATATTAATAATTTTTTGTCTATTAAAAGAGCCATGTTACAATTTCTACTATTGATTCAACTATTGAATCAGAAAATGTAGATGAAAGAATAGTTTATATAGAAGATTTAGAAAAAAGAAGACAAGTATATGGAATATGTGGAGAATGTAAAGAACCTGGCACAGGAGAATATTGGTGTCAATCTTGTAATGCTAAAAGATTTAAGGATAACTTTAAAAATTGGACTAGTGGAAATAAACATATTGACGAATTTATACAACAATCACAACTTAATGCTGTACATAATGAAAAATGTCTTGAATGGATACCTTTTGAAAAATTTCAAAATGTCACTTATATTGCAGAAGGTGGTTTTGGTAAGATTTATTCAGCAGAATGGCTTGAAGGAAATATTGAATATTGGGATATTGAAAATCAAAAGTGGTATAGATATAGTTATAAATGTGCATTAAAAAGTTTGAATAATTCTTCTGATATATGTTCAGATTTTTTAAATGAGGTAATTTAAACTTTGTCTTATATATAAAGTTTGTTATTCGCATTTATTTATTAATAAAATTTTTTCTTTTTGATAATAATTAGATTAAATCTCATCTTCAGATTCATCTTACTGATATTGTTCAATGTTATGGAATTACTCAAGATCCAAATAATAAAGAGTATATGATGGTTTTATATTATTGTAGCTTTGGAAATTTGAGAGATTATTTAAATAAATCTAAAAATTATATCAATTACAAATCAAAAATTGATAAATTACAACAAATTGCAAGAGGACTTCTAGATGTTCATAATTCTGGGAAAGTTCATAAAGATTTTCATTCAGGCAATATATTATATAATGGTGTTAACAACCCATATATAAGTGATTTAGGTATGTGTCAACCAGCAAATATAAAGCAACCAGCTAAAGAAGAAGGAATTTATGGAGTATTACCATATATGGCACCAGAAGTTTTACGCGGATACCAATATACAAAAGCAGCAGATATTTACTCATTTGGAATAATAATGAATGAATTTCTTTTTGAAGAAATTCCTTTTAATGATATTCCTCATGATGAGTTTTTAGCTATTAAAATATGTATGGGACTTAGACCAACAATTTCTAATGATGTACCAAAGTTACTTACAGATTTGATAATAAAATGTTGGGATGCTGAAATAGAAAATAGACCAACCACTAAAGAATTGTATCAGATATTAACAAAATGGAATGATGAAATTAGAAAATATAGTAAAGGTGGCGAAGATTATGAAGATGGTGAATATAGTGAAGATGCTAAAGATAGTGAAAATGGTGACAATAGTCAAAATAGTGAAATATATTCTCAAATAAAAGAATGTGATAAAATTAGAAAAGAAAGATTCAAAAATAGGTCAAATGTAGATAAATCCAAAAGCTTCCAAACACACCCACAAGCATTTTATACTAGTAGACTTTTAAATTTTAAAAATCTTCCAAAACCAGTAAATTCTTCAGATTTATTATCATCTTTTCAATTCAGTTCAGGTAATTAAATTTAATTTTTGTTTTAACATGTAATCCACTTTATAATATTTATGTTATTTTATTTTTATTAGATGCTAATTATACTGCTCAATCAACATCAGATCCAAGTAAGTATCTCTTAATTGTCATTATTGTAATTATTTTATTTACATTTGTTAACATTTAAATACTATGAATACATAATATACAGTTTCAGAATGTTTAGATTGTTTAATTAAGTGAATTGGTAAGTTATTATTTATTTGTAATTTTACTAATATTTCCTTTCTAATTATCTAATCTATTTTTTTTATAGAACTAAAGGAAATTTGTCAAGATAGTGAATATAATATTGAATGAAGTTTTCTTTTACATGAAAGTTAGAGTTAAAGGGTTTAAATTATTAGTTTGTGTGTTTGAAGTTGGCTTTACTTTTATTTTTCTTTTATTATTATCAGTTATGCTTTATAAATTATTATCTTTAGTTTTTTTATTTACGTACTAGTATATTATATTATATATACAGTAGATTTATTGGATTTATATTTACGAATATTCTATATAAATAAAGATTTTAAATTTTTTTATGCATATTTGATGATTATTATTTGATCATTTAAATGTAAAACTGTAATATTTGAAACTACCAATATTTCACTCAATGTATTTAAATGTTTTGGTTGGGCTGATAGTTTTTTAGGCTGCGCCTCATTTTCAACCTACCTTTAAATAACAACTGTATCTAAAGATTAATCAGCTTAATAGTTGAGTAATATATAAATTTTACATTTCATATGGAGTTTAGAAGCTTATTTATTTTCCACCTGTTTAAATATTAATAATTTTCCTTTTTATACTAATATATTTGAGATATATTTGATCAATAATTAAATTTAAATTTAAAATAAGATATCTAAAATAGGACATTAGTAAGACTATGTAATTGTTTAAATAATAAAATTTAAATAATAAAAATGTCAATAAAGAAAAAATATTATAATATTTCATTTAGCGTATTTATGAGTCCATTTACTGACAGTAGCTTCATAACGATTACGATCATTCTTTTACAATTGAGATATTTCAGGTATTAAATAACAATCTAATTTATTGATAAATTATTTTTAGTTGAAATTAATCAGATCATTCAATAAAATAATGAACATAAAAAAGCGAATTATAATACATGGGTTTGGATCTCTCAGCAATTGACAAATTCCTGAGAGTACTTGATAGAATAAAAGATTTGATTAATTTTTTTTTAAATAATAAAAAGTTCCACATATAATAAATTATTATTACTCCTAGAAATGGTAATTGCTGGAATGCTGGTGACCATTGGTCCCTCAAGAAATCCACGCACTATCAGTAATATTCGGATGATAGATTCTTGTTGTAACTTCACCTGTATATAACAAATTTAGCACGTGAGTCAATTGAATCATGCTATTAAACAATTATACAAGCAAAAGTATACCTCTGGTGGTTTGAATAGATAATCACGCACTAGGAAAACGAGAATATCAAGATAAAATATACCTCTAGAGTATGAAGTATCCCTCTAATCCAAATTATTATACTGTTAATATTCAAGCGAAAGTTATTATAATTTTTACATATGAAGTTTAAAAGTGATAAAATATTACTTACGAGACCTATAATTGATGCCAATGAAAAAGATCATCATCGAACATCGATAGGACCAGCACTAAAAGATGACGGTGGGTCACGACCTAGCTCATATAATTCCTAATATTAAATATATATTTAAAGAATAAAAATTAAATAAATTAATTAGTTACAATTGAAAAAAGTAGCTTTTTTTTAGCACGTAAAAGTTCTAAAATGAATTTCATTTATGTACTACACAAATATATGAATTTTTATATTAGCCCTTTATAGTAATTATCGCTTTATTTGTTTAAGTTAATTTATAATTTTACTGTCATAATGAAATTTTTATCCGATTGTCTGGTACTGCATCACATTTTAATTCAACGTTGTGTCTTAAAAAAAGGACTTACATAATTATTATTCATGCATTTAAAATGTTAAATCTTTTACGCTAAAAATAATCTACTTACTCATATGTATTGGTTTATGCATAAAAATTTTTTTTAAAAAAAATGAACAATTAATAAATATTAACGGGAAGCTATGATTATTATGATTCTTTAATTTAATAAATAAACGATTGAATAAGATGACCTATAGAGTAGCACAATTTGAAAAGCGCAATAAACATTACGAGAATAAACATTTTATAAAAATATTCGAGAAATTGGAACTAGTTTTGGAAATGTTTATCGTGTAAAGTGGAAAAATTTTTGCATTAAAATCTCTTCTTAATATTGATGAAAATACCATTAAAGGACTTGTGATTATTATTTTACGTTTGTTCATATTACCAATAGTATATGATTGTCCCTTTAATTTACGACAAAAACCATTATAATCAAATATTTTTCGTAATGAATTTCTTTTCAGAATATTTTCACATAAAATTTTACTGTATATAGACCGAACTATTTGATCGATTTAAAATTTATAGGCAATAATATGTTTCTCAATAATGTTCTTAATAGTACAACTTATTACTTAAATTTTCGTAAGCAAATCCACTAGATAATAAAAACAATGTCTTTATAGGTTTATCAGTTGATATTGTAAAGAAAAGTGATTTTCAGAAAATTCATGATATTTTAATATTATTCATTATAACATAAGTTTGAGTTAACTTGAAATTATATAATTATATAATTGGCATGAGTAATCCCAAAAGTTGGCCCTTATTTCAAATTATAATTTAGTCCAAAAAAGTCTCATTAATTTTTCTAACAATTGTTATTTTAATTCAAGAAAATTCATATACGGTAAAAATTCAAATAATCAGTGAATTTAAATTTCAACAAGGAACTAATTCCTGAAGATTAAATTCGTTGGCAGCAATTAAGATCTTAATAATATCTGAAAGTTCATATACTTCTAAAGAAAGATTTCAATAAAATTGAAAATATATGTAAGACAATAATATTAGGTAATTTAATATTTGTTAAGGTTCCATCATTTTTCTTCTTATTATCCAACAAAATTCTTCTTAATTAAGGAGAACGATAATTTAAAATAACGATATGAGCCCGAAATATTTCAATTGTAATATCATAATATTCTTCATCGTTTAATATTTCAAACAAATTTTGCGATAATATTGGCAAAAGTTTATTGTCAACCATTATAATTTTGAAACAAGTGAAAATTGTATACATGATTGAGAACAAATTGCGTCATTATTACCCGAGGTTATTAATCACATCATTTTGTAATTCCGGTTTACGGTCAGCTTTTTTTGGCCCGTACTTCAGTTTAACCTTGGATTATTGTTGGCACTTGGTAAATAATCTTTCTGAACCAATACTAAATTTTTTTTTTGATCCATTAAACAATAACCTTACAAATTGATATTTTCCAATTGTCTAGTAAACATTTCTTAACCTTATTTATTTATTTATTAATCAGAATAGCAATTCTAAAGGCAAAGATAAAATCTAGAACTAGAATATAATTAAGCAATTTCTAACATTAAATTTTTTGAAATTTTTTTTTTCGCTATTATAATTCAAAATTCTAATTAACATTAGTTTTCTGTAGAACAGTTTAAAAATTGTTTACAAATTATGCTTTATCTTTATTAAAATGTGGATGATTTTTTTTTTTGCTTTTCAATAATTAGTTGAATTTGTAATTTTATTGATTTTTATTTGTTTGATAAATTATAATTTATAAGGTCATAGTGGAAGAATAGAAGTAGGAGTAGGAATGATATTAGATAAGTCTTATTACTTAATTTATACCTGTTATTTCATCATTTTATATTTATTCAATTTGTTAATTAAATAAAATCTTTAAAATTAAACGATTTTTAACCTTATTTAAAAGAATAATTTTTAATTAGGAATTTGACTTTTATGCGGGATGCATAAATTGCATCCCATGCATAGTAATTCTGATATACATGGGTATTTAAATTATTTAATAAATACATCATAATTGTCTCATGCGCAGCTTTTTTTGATACGCGTCTAAATTTAGACTTTTTTATTTCACATGATCACGTGTTTAAATTATATTATACTTTTTTTTCCCAACTATTATCATCTTTCCTCTTCCCCTCTCTTCCTCTCTTCCTATCTCCCCTCTTCTTCTCTAGTCTCTCCTCCCAACCTCTTTCTCCCACTTATAAATTTTATTACAACTAAAATGAGTGACTCCGAATTTATGTCAAGCGATGATGAAATTTTCGATGAGGCTTTTGATAATGATTTTATTGAAAATATTCCTAATGACAGTGACTCTGATGGTGAAGATAATGGTGGTTCCTCCAATGAAACTCTGAAATTGGAAGTTGGGATGGCTTTTCTCACCTGGAAGATTGCATTTAACCACATCAAGCAATAAGCTCATCAACAGGGCTTTGGCATACGCAAAGGAAGATCAGAAAAAAATAGAATCTAAATTAAGAAAACAAACAATTGTATGTTTTTGTGAAGTAGTTTATAATAATCAATCAAAAAGGAAAGAAAAGGAAAACATCATTGTAATTTAATGGCTCAAATCACTACTGTAATTCAAGCCGCTGCAGCGGCTTGAATTACAGTAGTGATTTGAGCCCGGCTCCCTTCGGTCGCCTGTTTGCATTTTAATAGTATTTTAATAGTATGAGCTTATCTTTGATACTTTTTCGGCATATAATTTAATTAATAGAAAAAATAATTTTTTTATGTAATAGAAGGGATGCGTACAGAAATACATATGCATTGTTTTATTTTTAGAAAATTTATTTAAATTTTTTTACCAGTGCGTAAAATATTCAAAAATCGAAAATTTTATATATAATATATGCACCCTACAATTTATGCAGGTGCGTAGAAAATAAAAACCTTTTTTAATTTAGCATTGCCGTCGGCTGATTTTCGTATCTAGAATTTTCCAAAAATCGGCCAAATTTTTAAGCCCTAGTTCAGCCTAAACTGTCATGCTATTTCCGACCGAATTGGATCGTATCGATATACATATTATTTTTACACATTTTTAATAAACTTTACTAATAATAATAAATTAAGTAATACTTTTCTAAAATTAAAATATTGTCAAATTCTACATCATGACATTTTATAATTTAACTAATTTAAAATAAAAAATTAGGTAAGAATTCTTTAAAATACTATTTATTTATTTTTTTTGTTAAATTCTAGGTGAAATGAATTTTGATCATTGAATTTGCTGCGTCACAATACTTACACATGTGATTGGATATTTTCGAAAGCCTAACGCTGGCCGTTTGATCACGTGTTCGTACATAAACCCTGCATAACTCTGGCCAAACTTGGGAAATCATCCGTGTGCCGTAACCGATTTAAATTACAACAAATATTAATTTATGAATTTTTCATTATTTAAAACTTTTACTTTATAAATTTAAAATAATATTTTTCGTACAAATATTAATACTTTTAATTAATGAATGTAAACATTTTGTATTGTTTATCACGTAAGTCTCATTAACGCTATTTTTATTATTAAAAAAATCAAAATATTAAAATTTAAAAACATAAATAACAATAAAATGTGAAACACATTTATAAGAGAACTCCAGTCCAGGTTCAGGCAGGGCTAAGGTTTTCATACTTATAATTCTCGGGCTGGACCGAGTTGACACAAAATTAATGATTAAATCTGAGCCGGGTCGGATGCTAAATATAAATGCAGGCCTCTATAAGTAATAACTAGTATAAATTAGTTAGCTGTTTGATTTTATAAAAAGAAATGAAAACTCATTCAGTATTATTTTCGCCATCTTGATTAATTTCATTAAGATCTATAAAACAAATAAATAAATATCATATTAACAAAACAAAAAAAAAAAAAAATAAGAATAAATAACATATTACCTGATTCATTTAATTGACAATCAAAACCCTCCGAAACTATTAATAATAAAAATAACGTTAAAAAAGTCTGAATATTTTTAATTATATTAATTATATTAACTATCAATAAATATTAATTACTTACATAATGGTGATAGAATAACATCTACTAAAAAACAAAGTTGTTAATAATGCAAATTTGTTTTATGTTATCAAAATAAATTAAATTAAATTACCTGAATTTACTGGTTCTGGAAGATTTTTGAAATTTAAAAGTCTACTAGTATAGATTGCTTGTGGATGTGTTTGAATGTTATTGGATCTTTTTTCACTTGTTCTGTTTAATTTGATCTTATTATCATATTCATCTATTTGAGAATAAATATCACTATCTTCATATTCATCATTATACCATTTATTTAATTTTTGATAAAATTCTTTAGCAGTTGGTCTATTTTCGGCTTTAGCATCCCAACTTGGTAATCAAATCTGCGAGTAGTTTTGGTGTATATTTGAAAATATTTGGTCTAAATCCTTTACATATTTTGATAGCTAAAACATGATCATGAGGAATATTGTTATAAGGAGTTTTTTCAGACATATATTCATTCATCATTATTCCAAATGAATAAATATCAGATGCTTTTGTATACTGATATCCACGTAAAACTTCTGGTGCCATATAAGGTAATACTCCATAAATTCCTTCTTTTTTTGCTGATTGACTCCCATTATTTACTGGTTGGCACATTCCCAAATCACTTATATAAGGATATGAAGTAAATAATATATTTCCTGAATGTAAATCTTTATGAACTTTTCCAGCATTATGGATATCTAGAAGTCCATTTGTAATTCGTATTAAATTTCCAATTTTTGAATAATAATTTGGTTCATAATTCAGATAGTAATTTCTCAGATTTCCGCCTTTACAATATTTCAAAACCATCATATAATCTTTGGTATTTGGATCTTGAGTTATTCCGTAACATTGAATGATATCATAGAGATAAATCTGAAGATGAGTTTTAATCTAATAAAAGCATTGAAAAGAAAAGTTTTAAAATACAGTAACTAAAATTAATTACATTTTTATTTTAATTACCTCATTTAAAAATTCTGTACTTATACAAGATGAGTTATCCAAACTTTTTAATGCAACTTTTTCCACATTTTTATCCCTTTTCCATTTTTGATTTTCAATATCCCAAGAAGTAATATATCCTTCAGGCCATTCGGCTGAATAAATTTTACCAAATCCACCTCTGGTAATATAAGTAATATCTTTAAAATTTTCAAAAGGTACCCATTCAAGATATTTTTTATGATGCACAGCATTGAGTTGTGATTGCTGTATAAATTCATCAATATCTTTGTTTCCACTAGTCCAATTTTTAAAGTTATCCTTAAATCTTTTAGCATTACAAGGTTGACACCATTTTTCACCTGTACCAGGTTCGTTACATTCCCCACATATTCCATACACTTGTTTTCTTTTTTCTAAATCTTTTATATGAACTATTTTTTTATCTGCCTCTTCTGCTGATTCAGAAATTGAACTAATAGTAGAAATTGTAACATGTTTCTTTTAAAATAAATGATTAAAAAAGTATTATTATTCAAAATTTAATGATGTAATTAATGATAAAATGATTGTTTTACCTGATATTTATAAGAATCAACAAAACCTTCCATAAATTTCTTTTATTTTCTTTTGGATCCATTTTTGATATTTCCATACTAAATTAATTGAATTGTATATTGAATTAATAAAGATAACATTAACCGTAAAATGAAATGTGAAAAATTTTTAAATTGGTTTATTCACAATAAGCCTTTGTGCAACATGTGTAACATTCAAAATCTACATACAGTAATAGTAATATTTTATCGACTTTATATATATATTTTTTTTTTTACACTTTTTCCGAAATTGAGCATAAAAGAATTAACAATGCTATTATTAGAAAAGATTTAAAAGATTTAAAATTATACACTTTTTTAACTGCGGAAACCATCATTCATTCTTTTTTTGTCCAACGCTAAACGAACTGCAGAAAATTTATTTAATGGTGCACTAAAAAAAATATTTTGTTGATCTTGGTAGTAAAAAATTCTTTTTAGGATTTATTAAATTGATGGGCGTACAACATGTGTTAATTAACTTAAGTAACACGTTTTACTAAAATTAAAATTCTTTTTTACTTTCTTCAGTTACTAAATAACGAAATGTCACTTAAAAGAATCAGTAAAGTAAATTATGAGATATAATTAATTTAAATTTCTTATATTTTTCACTATCGGATTTTGGACAAAAATTTTATTACCGTAATTTATTTAACTTATTCATCTTTTTTTTTATTATTCTATATATATATATTATTAGGAATTGCATGATTCAGGACAATACTTATTGTCGACTTGCAGTGCTGGTCCTATTGATGATGATCTTTTTCATTGGCAAGCAACAATTATGGGACCTGTAAGTATTACTGGCTAAATCAATTAATCAATAGCCTATTATGTGACTTTATCTGCGTAGAGAGACGTACGGCAAATTGTTATCACCTATAATTTTTCATTAGCCTGGTTCCCCATACTCAGGTGGTGTATTTTTCCTTGCTATTCATTTTCCTACAGATTATCCGTTTAAACCACCAAAGGTATATTTGTTTATATGGTTATTTGTATTTTAATTACGTACTTGCTCATATACTGTTTCATACTAGGTTAACTTTACAACAAGAATATTCCATCCGAATATCAACAATAATGGAAGTATATGTAGCTGCTGTGTGAATATTTTAGGGGACCAATGGTCGCCAGCAATTACCATATCGAAGGGTAATAAGAAGAATTGTTGAAATTTTTTTATACAAAAAAAAAAAATAATAATAATAAATAAATGAATCTTTTATTTTATCAAGTACTCGTTACAATCTGTACATTGTTGACTGAACCCGATCAAGGTATACGTTATATTATCATTCACATTTATCCTTGTTTGTCATTAAACTAAATTGATTTCAACTAAAGAAAATTTAATAACAATTTAGAATGTTTGTTAGTGCCCGCAGTATCTCATTTGTATAATAACGATCGTAATCGTTATGAAGCTAATGCTAGGGAATGGACTCGCAAATATTCTAGTCAGTATAACTAACTTCAGTATACAATTTTGTTGTTCTGTTTGTGTTTTTATATTTAGCATTGTATCTTACGGAATTCCTTGTTATCAATATTAGTGCTATTATCTGAATTGAATTAGGTCCATCCGTATATACAGTATGTTATCATATATACAGTACAATACAATATTTTGTTCTTCGTTTTACGATTAATATTTCACTTACAGTAAATCCAATAATGTAATCAAATCTAGTTTTATTGAATAATATTACAGATAATGGCAATGAATTAATAAAGATTATAGGAAATTATTAAAAAAAAAAAAAAAAAATTTTGGTTAGTTAGCGTCGAATCCTTAAGTTTTCATGATTTCTCCTAACTAGAGCCTTGAATTAATAGTCTGATCACAAACTTGAAGTTTTTAAATATTTGTAAGGCCATTTCAACTTAAGATTTCTTTTAACATAACCTCGCTTCCCACTGATTTTCAAAAAACCCGATGAAAAAAATAAAATTTTAGGCCGAAATTATAAAATTTGGCCAGAATTACAAAACGAAATTATAAATCACATGACATATACAGTACATGATTCTGGTGATGATTTTGATCACGTTCTATCCTCCACAAGTTGTGGTTAAAGAATTGGCTTGGAGTAATTTTATCACTTTTATCATATACTATCAAACCAAAAATGAGGAAAGTGGTTAAAATTTAAAATATATAATACAATCAACACCATCCTTCCATATTTACATGTTTTAATATGTAATTACGGTATGACAATAATGAGAGCACTATTAAAATCTCCATTGATCTTGATAATGAAAGAATTTTTTTTTAGGACTAAAAAGGCACTAAAAAAGCGTACAGTATTTGCATGTTAGGTAGCTTAAAAAGACGACCTTATCAGTTCCCACGTTTTTTTTATTAAATAAATTTAATCTTTAAATAGTTAAAATCAACGTTACTTAAAAAATATAATTGTTATACCGTTATATCATTAAAACTTATTGCCTTGTAAAAGATCCTGAAATAGAGGATTATATATTAGTAATGAGATACGCGCAAGTATCTACAAAAGATCTTACAAATATTACGCGAAATAAACATTTTCAGAAGGGGAATATATTTTAAATTTTAGACTTGACAATTCCATAGTGTAAGCATATTATTAATTCAAATGATATTTATGGATATTAATATGGAATTGAAGATTTATTATCACAAGCTGTATTGTAAAGTAATAAATCATCAAATAATGAGATATGTATATGGAGTAATACTTTAATTGTACCAGAAATCTTTAAAGGCTCCGAATTTTTTAAGGAAACTTATATATAAATATATTGGGTATAATTATGTTGGGAACTTATAATAGGTTATAAAACTCAAGATGAATGAACGTCAAATCTTAGCCAAAGAATTCTAAAATATAACCATTTTATTTAATACGTAATCATAAAAACTTTATAAAAAAATTAACATTTTTCCTTACCAAACTCGGACATGGTTATAAATTAGGAAAAAAAGTTTTTTTTTTGAAAAAAAAAAAATCAATTACTATGACGTAATTTTTTTTTCTCATGCAAAAGTAATTAATCAGCGTACAGTATGTCTCAAGCATTCGCACTTTTAAAAATATAACTACTAAGGAACAGCGATTAATAATGATTTATAAATGTATTCTTATTTTCTTATTTTATTATATACTGTACTATAGACTTCTCGCTCCACCTCATAATAATCTTTCATTTTGTCATTATTAAACACATTACATTATACTGATTCATATATGAATAAATTTAAATTCATTTTTTTTTTACTTCCCCTCCTTTTTATTTAAAATTTTAATTATTTTATTCCATAAAATAAAATGATTTAAACTAAATAACAAATGTTGGAGAATCTAGAAAATTTTATTATAAAGAATGGTTATTAGATCACCGTAATCACGTGGCTCACGTGTATATGATACCAATCGTCATCAATTTCATATATATATGAACTGTAGCCCAAAAGCCAAGTTATTAGTTAATAAAAAAAATTATGAGACTCTTATGAAATAATAGATTGGACTTTTGAGTTTCATTGAAAAAAAAAAAATAATAATAATTTTATTGATCCACTCGAAATAACTTTTCTAAATAATATTCTTCGAATCGAATATTGATCGAATTGCATAACTATTACATTTTAAAGAGTAAAGATTTAATAGATTTTTTAATTATGATGAACAATTTTATTTATTATACAACAATTAAAAGAATGTTAACAAGAATTAAACAAATAAATAAATTTCATTACAGTATAAAATTTTCTTTAGAATTTAATATAAGTAGTAAATAAAAAAAATTATTTGAAATAAACTAACAATTAACCAGTAATAGTACTCATGCAACAGCCTAACGCCATGGTGCAAGAAAAAATAAAGTGTGGCGTAAATTTACTATTCAATAATATATGTGCACCATAAAAGTCAAGATGCTTAGTAGAATATATATAAAATAGGAAATTAAAATCGTTAACATGCAGAAAATGTTCAAAATTTTTATTGTACAATCGGAATATCGGGGATTGACTCCAAAAAAGTTATAAAAACTTTTACGCAAATGTTTGAATATTGTATTACAATATTTATTTATTTTAAACCCGCATTTATGTAATTTTGGTAAAATTTACTTTTATATTTGTAATTAATTAAAAATTAGAATATTGGAAGTGATCCGAAATTCCCAACGAAAAACGCCACATATTTAATAATATGACCAAAAGAGTCATTACTGTACATAGAGAACTTCCTCAAAAAATTTGTTCTAGGCACTTCTTTTATTACATCACTATTGAAATTAGGTTGAAGTAAGTATATATAACTTAATTAGGAAATTAACATGGAATTTTCTCTAATACAAAGTTAGCGGATAATCTGTATTACTTGTACATCGGAATTTGCATAGGAATTTTTTTAAAAAACTTTTCGTAAAAAAATTACAAATTTACAATGGCATAGGAATCTTTAATTTTTTTTTTTTTTTTTTTTTTNATTTTACAAAAAAACAATATCCGAAACATCAACTGCATTTAATATATGCTCACACTCATGCTTACCGTACAATCCGGTTTTTCTCTTTTTTTTTTTTTTTTTTTTTTTTTTTTGGAAAAGAATTACATTAGCTAATTATTGTTCTATAGTCTAAAAAAAGTTTACATTGGATAATTTAATTTATAAATAGAATGAATTCACTTGACCGACATTTAAATCACATGATACGCGTGATAATCGTGATATCGACTTGTACAATTCTTCCATATCAAAAACTTTCGTTCTATGCATCTTTACTACAAAACCACTTTTTCTATATAAATAAATTTTTAAAACATTGAAATCAATTTCTAATTAACAGCAGTCCAATCAAAATCCAATTTTTATTGAAGTTTAAGCATGATTATAAAGTACACGAATTCAGGTAATTAAGTTGTTTATTACATCATGTTGTGTAACATTTTAAAGAGTGACCAGACTTTTCGGATAATTTATTTATCCGCTATGCAAATTTTTTTTGTACAAATGGTTAAGATAAAAAAATTTAAATGACAGAAAAACAACTTGAAACTGGTCACATGTAGAAAAATATAATGAGTCCATAAAAATATGTACTCGTTATACTGAACCAAGCAAATTTTTTCTTAAAAGTCATTAAAGTAGAAACCGTAGAATTTGCGGACGAAATTGCCAGCCGGAACAAAAAAATTTCTAAATATTTTGTTACAGAACAATCTCATAAAATTCAGGCCGGAATTTTAAACTTAACTAGAATTATTGTCGTTCAGAAATAGCTTTCGAATCATTATTTAAAATTATTAATCCAATAGTGTATTTCTTACAATTTCACTTTGAAATTAAGCTTTAATAAGCAATATCTAATTTTGTTAAAATTATTATTTGCTTTGTACTTATTGCTTTTTCAGAAATGTTGGTAGTATTGGACCATGCATTTTAAACCAAAACAAAAATAAAAAAAAAATCATTTCTTCTTTTATAAAACGCATACCCATATTTTAGTAATGTATGCATGAATAATATGATATCATTCACATGAATAATATGATATTATTCACATGAATGTTTACTTGTATTTATTTGTTTGTTTGTGTTCAGTGTAAATAATCAACATTCAGTAACTTATTAAGATATCACATGATATGTAATCTTTTATGAAATATCACCTCTGGTGATTGTCACCTTACCAGAATTAGGGGAAATTTTGGGTAGAATTAAAAATGTAATGAAACTCTGCCCGTTAATATTTTCTAATGCTGGTGCGATTTAGAAATGCCCATATTATCTCAATTGTACCTAGAAGTAAAGAAGAACATGAAATTATAACAAATTGAGTGACGAATTCAGCATGAGAATTGAGATGATCAACGAAAATACGATAAAGATGAGGAAATGGACAAGATTAACGAAAACAAGAAACGTGTAGCGACAAATCAAGGAAATAGGGACGACTCCGATAGCGAATGAACAATTAATTTATCATTCTTTATCAATCAATTAAACAAATTTAGAATTGAGGATCATTTTATTTGCGTTGGAAAAGGGTTGAAAATACGCGATTGAGTGGAGAATTTTCAATCGATTTCGAAAACGTTTCCGTCAAGACGCGGATTAAGTGGGCTTTAATTTTTAATGTATAAATTTTTACTTTGTTTCCTTTTTTTTTTAGATATATTTTGTTTTTTGTTAATATCAATTTTAGTTTAATTATAACAATGAAAGGGTGTAATAAGTATCTTAGAAAAGATAGAAAAGATAGAAAACATGGGAAAAATATTAAAAAAAAACCAAAAAAATATTAAAATACTTTTAGTTTAGTAATATGACAAACAAAATTTTTTTTTTAGGATTCAACAATTAGAATTTAGATTATTAGTTGTTTAGATCATTTAGATAGAGTAGGATTAAGTAATTAATAAATGCATTACTAACTTAAAAAAAAAAGAAAAAGAAATGTCCATATTATTCTGGTTCTGACGTACTTTATTTCATCAGATAGTACCTAAAAACATTAACTTATAAATATATTTATCTCAGTAAAATGAATAAAATTAATAATAAATATCAATAAATAAATTAAAAATGAAACAATAATCTACTAAATAGTTTAACAATTTTATTTGCTTTTTTTTTCTTTGCAGATTTATTGTCCGGAACGAAGTGCGTACTATGAAAAATGATCAATCACGTGTGTTTCTCTTTTTTTTTGCTCCGGACTTGCAGGACTTGCAACGGTTTCCATTTCCTAGTAATAATGATAACATAAAAGATGCTATGCATTTTTACGTCTAAAATATAAATATTCCGAAGATTTAATTTTTGACACAATGTTAAATATTAATGTTACAATATAGTACCGTAGTGATTATTTATTGAATTTCCTTTTTACTGAAGTTGAATTATTAAGAAAAGCAAGAAAGTAATTTGAATAATTGGGCGTATACTTTGTATAACGAAACGTATATATCTGATTTAACGACAAGATTATATTTATATTCATTTTTATCAATTCTATTTTTCTTTTTAGCGTATATTAGTAATAGTTAACATTTGTCATCACTTTTAATACGATAGATTATTTTTTAAATTATGATGGACAATTTTATTTATTACATCATATGTGAGTTAACGATTAAAAGAAAGTTAACAAGAATAAATAAGTAAATAAATTTCATTTCAGTATAAAATAAAAATAAATAGCAAGAAAAATTTTCTTTAGAATTTAATATAAATAGTAAATAAAAAGAAATTATTCGAAATAAACTTTAACAATTAACCAGTAACAGTACCCATGGAACAGCCCAAAACAGCACCCGTTTCACTTAAAATCGAAACTACAATAGAGTATGTTCCAGATAAACTAGCAGATATTGCAACTGTTTCAACTATACTGAAAGATGTGACGGGACACGTTATTCCAGGTACAGTACAAATGTCGTTAACAATGGGATCGCCTATTTGATTGCCAGTAGTATCAAGCCCTTGGACAACCATTTTGGCGCCCGGGTTAATACCACTATCTACAGTTCCAGTAACGGTAAAAATACAATTTTGTCCAGGAACAGGAGGATCAGGTTGTAGCGATACAGTAATTGGAAATGGAGATCCCGTAAAACATGGACCGAACGTAGTAGCTCTTTTATCGAGTTGATAGTATGGAATAGCATTGACCATTGAAAGTGTAGTCAATAAAGCGACGAGAAAAATAAGATGTTGTTTCATGATTTCTTTGATGAATGTTCAGAGGTGAATATTAATTCAAAGTAATTGATTTCAATTGCTTGATATCAGAGTGAGTTTGAATCTCTGCCTTTTTATAAGAAAAAAAGTGAATCATCTTTGCCTTAATTGTACTCATTCTATTTTAAAGATTTCGTGACAAAGTATGGCGTGCTTGCTATTTAATTAATATATGCACCATAATTCCTATAAAAAAAATTCTGGTAAAAACTCCGATAAATGATCATTTTTCTAGTTTTTTATTCCGAAGAAACTTAGACATGTGATTATTTTTCTGAAAAATTTTTTATAAGGTAAAAGTCAATTATTAATTTAATGTCATAAAAAATAAAGAATTTTTCTAACTATCACCGGGCACCGGTGACTGAAATTATGATGATCGACCAGCATTAAAAAAATATAGTGCCGGTAAAAATTGATAATTCTGGCCAACGGTGATGATCACCCCTGTGATTTGAAGTAAAAAACTAAAATAAAAATAGAAATTAACGTGTAGAAAATAATTAGTCACCATAAATAATTATGCTCTCTCAAAATTTTAAAAAGGGAAATGATTTCTTCAATAGAAATGGAGATTTTCTCATTTTCTCAAGTAAAATTTTAAATTGAACAATCGGAGTATCGGAGATTGATTGATACTAGCGCTAAAAAGGATTATATAGAAAACAAGTACAGTATGGAATCCTATGTATGTATGTATGGTGGTCAATGTATGGTATGTATGGTGTTAATTTTCATACGGTATAGTTATCACAATAGTAATATACTATACATAGGCCACCATACATACTGTACATACATAGGTCACCATACATACATACATAGGATTCCATACTGTACTTGTTTTCGTCACCCCGCTAAAAAGGTATAAAAAATCTTACACAAACGTAAATATTGTGTTACAATATTTGAAATAACTTGTTCAGTTACTTATTTCATTCCTTCATAATATGTATTCCTTCATAATATGTAATTACGTAAAATTTGCAATTTATAATCAACCCCCAAAAATTGGAATATTGAAACTGATCGAAATTATAAATTAATATTACCAAAAGTGTCATTACAATATGTAATACACAAAGAACTTTCTTCCAGGCAATGTTTTGTTTTGTTACATCAGCACATCACTATCGAAATTAGGGTTGTGTGTATAACTTATTAACTTAATTAGGAAATTAATATGAAAATATCTGACACAGGACAGAGTATTACATTATCACATCATTTTTTGCAATTGATAACACTTGTACGAATTTGAAAACTTAATTATTAAAATCATTTTTATGTAAAAAATTGATCGACATCTAATTGATATGATATTCGTAATATGAAATCTTTAACCATGACTATAATATCTACCCTTCCATATTATATTTGATTTAATAGCAGAGATCTCCAGTGGAATTACTTTTTCATGTAAACATACATTATTTTTGTCATGTAAAAAAATTTTATGTATTAGATAGGAATTGTAGACTTCGTTTGTGCTAAATGGTATAGTTGACTTGTCATATTAAATTTAGAAGTCTAATTACAGAAGTAAAAACAACAGATTTGTTGGAGAAGTTTTGAAATAAATTGCTATTTATTTAAAATTTAGACAGAAAATTTACACTAAATTCGATATTAAGCATGAATATGTAATAACATTAGCATCTAAAATATTTAAAAATTTTATTAATGTAATAGAGCGTTCGGACGGCTGAAATTTCGGCAAGCGGTTGCACGTGACTTAATTAATTCTGGCCGGAATTATAATTTGTCCAAAATTAGGATCGTCTTTTGATCTTGGAAAATTAACTACAAAATCTCGGGCAGTCGGGCTTAAAGTTAATGACTAAAATTACAATAACTAGCTAAAAAACAAATATGTAAATAAAAACTCATGAAACTTTTGAAAGTGAAGCCAATTCTGAAAGTGAAGATAATTCCGAAAATGAACTTAAAAAAACAAACTACTGATACTTTATTACTTTGCTAGAAGTTTACGGCCAAGGCTTTCCAATCCACCCGTCTATAGGGCAGGTCCGCCTAGTATCCTATCATCCCCAAGGGCAACCATACTACCGACTACTTAATTCCTCAGATAGACAGCACCATGTATGAGGACATCACCCATCGGGATTACCCAGCACCGATAGTACAGTTGTGAACCCCAAGTGGTATACTTTGTAGTGACCACTCAGACAGGAAGTAGCAGGCTAGTATCCAGGATCACCCCTTATGGTGGGTATCAACTGATACTTTATTACTAATTTCATGACGACATATATTATTATATTATGTCCAAATACTGTTTATGATGTTTTGTCAGTTCGGTAAAATTAATCTTTTTTTGATTTAGATGTATTCGTATTTATTTATTTTATGTGAAATTAATTATAAACCCAAAAATTTTATCTAAAATTCTTAAATTATGTAAATTATGCCCTATAAGAAATATTTATACGGAAAGGATACGTTTTGTATACATTTTTTGTACGTTTCTATAGATTCCGTAATCCGTATACAAATTCCGTATATTTAATAAGCAATTCATTTTTGAACATTTTTTAAGTATAAGAAATGTATACAGAAAAAATTAATCATACGGAATGTATACGGAATTTTTAAACTTTAAAATATTTTTAGAAGATAATTTTACAAAAATCCGTATCATAACACGAGATCACATGATTGTTTATTGTTTTGTTATGATACGTTTTTTGTTTTTTATATAAACCCTTACTTTGATGAGTTTGATCTTCCGATCTTCCTTTCTGTCTTTTCTGTCTTTCCTTTCCTTTCTCTTTCTCTTGTCTTATTTTTGTTATTTTTTCTAAATTTTTCTTTCTTCGTCACCCCCTTTTAAAAATAATTTTTTTTTTTCGTACCTCACTTTAAAAAAATTTTTTTTTCGTCACTCTTCTTTGAAATTTTTTTTTCGTCACTCCTTTGAAAAAAAATTTTTT